AATTAACTAACTAACTATATAGTTAATTTTTATATCCTACACCATATTCATTTCCTGAGTCCATTAAGACATATCCGTCCATCCGGTTGCCTGGCTCGCCATGCAAATCTAACTAACTAACTAACTAACTAACTAATTAACTAACTAACTATATAGTTAATTTTTATATCCTACACCATATTCATTTCCTGAGTCCATTAAGACATATCCGTCCATCCGGTTGCCTGGCTCGCCATGCAAATCTTGCGCGTAACAAGTAGCGTTCGTTTTTTTCGGCTCAAGGACAAATACTATTACTTCACCAAACACCAATCCAGTTGGACTTTTGATTGGGATTTTTAGCTCATACCTGGTACTTTTCAGAAATCGATACAAATAGGTTTTATATAAGTATAAATTACACTGTCCAATTTATCAATTGACTCTAGCCCGCAAATAAACTCTCCTTTAGAAAATGCCTTAAATGTCCGACCATTAGGATCGCAATTCATAATAAATATCTTTTATATAAAAATAAAATCTTCCAACCAATTTTATGAGGACCTAAAGTCCCATATAGAGTTCCTTTTAGAAAATTAGTTTTTTTTTTATTAATTAATTGCTTAAATATATAGGAATAAAGGTAAAATTCAACATACATAAATGTTTTTTTTATAAAAATATTTTTTTTTTTAATACTTTTAAAATTATTTATGTGAAGGGATAAAAATATTTGGAATTGTGTATGAATGGTTTTCATGTAAAACGTATGTATATATCGATTTCCAAAATATAAATGGTGGAAAAAAATTTTTCTGGGAAATAATTATAAAAATAGAATATCTATGATTGTTTTATGTTTTTCTTATTAATTCATGTTGTATTTTTTGATATTTTAATGTAGATTACAAATTGGAATGGATTTATAATAGTGTTATTCAATTCCATTTAATTCCTGATTCACCATAAATAGTTTTACAATTGGTCATTAAAAGAAGGGACTTTTTTTCATTTCTTTTTAAATTCGTATTGTTTTTTATTTTTCTCCGAAATTGTTCAAGTTTAAATTGATTGATAGATTTCGGACATAAATGTTAATTTCATAAGCACTCATATTTGTCATTGATTGGAAAATTTAGAACAATTTATTGTTATTATGAAATTGATAATGGCTTTTAAAGAATTTAGACATTTTGTTTTACATATACATACATATGTATATGTACAGTACTTACGCCAGTACTTATTTGATTATTTAACACGTTTAACTGTTTATCGACAAAGTATTATCGCGTTAAATATTGGTCACACTCGGTATCGGCTGCGTAATCTACAAGATTTGCAGCACTCACTGCTGTCATTAAACCAACTTCGGGGAAATAGGTATATGAAAAAACAGATTTGGTTATAACATTAGCAGCAGTTGTATTATTAGAGGAAAGTCTGAAAACAATAACAACAAATCTATAACATTTTTAATAAATTAATCAAAATCAAAAAGAGCCAAATGTTATTGTATATTATTAAACTAAATAGGAATTATAAGTAAAGATAAAGAGACAGAACCCGATTTGTACAAAAAAAAACATAGTTTGTGAGAATATACAACACACGATTAAAAGCAGTTGTGCAAAGAGCACTTTTCTCAGCTTGAGTCTCTTTTAGAGTAATTACTCTAAGCTTTAACTTCTAAAAAAAAACAATTTTGCAAACTCAAAAACTTATCGATCACATCAAATAGTATTGATTTAAAATTTTAACTTAAAACAAGTTGTACTTATAGTTTAAATTTTATTATTATTTTATATTGCCTTGTACTCGTATTTTGGAAGTTTATGCCCATAATATTTAAATTTTTTCACGTTCTATTATTTTGTTTGAGCTCTGACGATATTTCTACGTGCGTGAGTACACATTTTGATTTGACAAAAAAAATTAAACATCACAACAAATTTGACATACATTTTATTTTAAATGGGAACTTAAAAAATACATTAAACAATTATCAATTAACAATGTTTATTGATTTTTTTTTAATAAAAAATCTAATTTGCGGAGAGTCTTCGAACTTTACGACCTCCAGCAGTGGTGTTGAACGTATAAATAAGTTTGAAATTCTGTTGTTAGCGTTTATAAATTCGTTTTGCTGATGGAATAAAGCGTTTCCTAGAAATTATATTCGATTTTCGAATGTTATTCACACCTAACTAAACGAAATTTTTAATTTGTATAACATTAAATTTAAATTTAGTATACATAGAATAAAATCACTTGCAACGTCTGGAATAAAAGTCTTACTAGATTCTGTAAAACCCGTTTAGAATGAATTTCCAAAAGTCTTTAAAAATCTGTGATCTGTTAGTTGGTAAGAAGTTAGTAAGTTACTTAGTTACTTAGTTTGAAAGAAGGATGTATCTACATCAAATCCGAGGCTCCTAACCAGTGCCTCAGGTGGAAATCGAACCCATCACCTCCGGTCTACCAGACTAAAATACTAACCACTAATCTAATAAGTTAGTAAGTTAGTAATTTTACGTTAGTAAGTTAGTGAGTAAGTTAGTAAGCTAGTAAGCTAGTAAGTTAGTAAGTTAGTAAGCTAGTAAGCCAGTAAGCTAGTAAGTTAGTCAGTTAGTAGTTAGTGAGTTAGTAAGTTAGTAAGTTAGTACGTTAGTAAGTTAGTAAGTTAGTAGTTAGTTAGTTAGTGAGTTAGTGTAAGTTAGTAATTAGTAGTTAGTAGTTAGTAGTTAGTTAGTTAGTTAGTTAGTTAGTTCGTTAGTTAGTTAGTTAGTTAGTTAGTTCGTTAGTTAGTTAGTTAGTTAGTTAGTTCGTTGTTAGTTAGTAGTTAGTTAGTTAGTTAGTTGTTAGTTCGTTCGTTCGTTCGTTCGTTCGTTTCGTTCGTTCGTTCGTTCGTTCGTTCGTTCGTTCTTCGTTCGTTCGTTCGTTCGTTCGTTCGTTCGTTCGTTCGTTCGTTCGTTCGTTCGTTCGTTTCGTTCGTTCGTGTTCGTTCGTTCGTTTTTCGTTCGTTCGTTCGTTTTTCGTTCGTTCGTTCGTTCGTTCGTTCGTTCGTTCGTTCGTTCGTTCGTTCGTTTTCGTTCGTTCGTTCGTTCGTTCGTTGTTCGTTCGTTTCGTTCGTTCGTTCGTTCGTTCGTTTTCGTTCGTTCGTTTCGTTCGTTCGTTCGTTCGTTCGTTCGTTCGTTCGTTCGTCGTTCGTTCGTTCGTTGTTCGTTCGTTCGTTCGTTCGTTCGTTCGTTCGTTCTTCGTTCGTTCGTTCGTTCGTTCGTTCGTTCGTTCGTTCGTTCGTTCGTTCGTTCGTTCGTTCGTTCGTTCGTTCGTTCGTTTCGTTCGTTCGTTCGTTCGTTTTCGTTCGTTCGTTCGTTCGTTCGTTCGTTCGTTTCGTTCGTTCGTTCGTTCGTTCGTTTCGTTCGTTCGTTCGTTCGTTCGTTCGTTCGTTCGTTCGTTCGTTCTTCGTTCTTCGTTCGTTCGTTCGTTCGTTCGTTCGTTCGTTCGTTCGTTCGTTCGTTCGTTCGTTCGTTCGTTCGTTCGTTCGTTCGTTCGTTCGTTCGTTCGTTTCGTTCGTTCGTTCGTTCGTTCGTTCGTTCGTTCGTTCTTTAGTTCGTTCGTTCGTTCGTTCGTTCGTTCGTTCGTGTTCGTTCGTCGTTCGTTCGTTGTTCGTTCGTTCGTTCGTTCGTTCGTTCGTTCGTTCGTTCGTTCGTTGTTCGTTCGTTCGTTTGTTCGTTTCGTTCGTTCGTTCGTTCGTTGTTCGTTTTTCGTTCGTTTCGTTCGTTCGTTCGTTCGTTCGTTCGTTCGTTCGTTCGTTCGTTCGTTCGTTCGTTCGTTTCGTTTGTTCGTTCGTTCGTTCGTTTCGTTCGTTTCGTTCGTTCGTTCTCTTTCGTTCGTTCGTTCGTCGTTCGTTCGTTCGTTCGTTCGTTCGTTTCGTTTTCGTTCGTTCGTTCGTTCGTTCGTTCGTTCGTTCGTTCGTTCGTTCGTTCGTTCGTTCGTCCGTTCGTCCGTTTGTCCTTTGTCCGTTTGCCGTTCGTCCGTTCGTCCGTTCGTCCGTTCGTCCGTCGTTCGTCCGTTCGTTCGTCCGTTCGTTCGTCCTTCGTTCGTCCGTTCGTTCGTCCGTTCGTTCGTCCGTTCGTTCGTCCTTCGCTCGTCCGTTCGTTCGTTCGTTCGTAGTAAGTCGTAGTTTTAGTGGGTCAGTGGATAGTAAGTTAGTAAGTTAGTTAGTAAGTTAGTAGGCAGTAAGTTAGTAAGTTAGTAAGGCAGTAGTTGTTAGGCAGTTAAGTTAGTAAGTTAGTAAGTAAGTTAGTGAGTTAGTAAGTTAGTCAGTTAGTAAGTTAGTAAGTTGGAAATGAAGTAAATTAGTAAGTTAGTTAGTTTCTATGTTAGTAAGTTTGTAAGTTATTAAGTAGTTCACATCTGAAGTATAAATTACATATTTACATTTTCGATGTAGATCGCATCATCATCGAAATTTTGTGGTCTGTAATTAGTCTATATTCTAGATGTTAGTCATATTAAAGTTGATTTTAAAATTTAAGGTTTCATTTCCACTTTGTTTCGTATCTTTTTGGTAATGGGTACAAAAATGTAAAAAAATATTTAAAGACTTCTTGACTTCGTAGGTAAATATTTATAATTTACGTAGGGTTCATTCACTTAGAAGTATATGAATTTATTGGCGAGTTGCAATTTTAATTAAGACCAATTTTGTGCATAATGCAAAAGCACATAAATAGATATATTTTCAGATATCTCTCTCAGTATATATGTCTTCTATATAATGACTTTTAAAAGTGGGAGTAGCTTGACAATAAGGCATGTTAACAATAAGTAAGTAAGGATTACTATCATACTAATTACGTTTTATATTTATAAATAAATATCTCCCTGCTCTCCGTTTAGTCTTCACTGTAGCTCAATAAATACCGCGACTAAGCGAATGGAACTCAATAAAAGAGTACAACAAGAGCGTTCTAGCCAGGCATAAATGAAATGCGACAAATACAATTTCGCAGCAGTTATAATATTAAATGTAGAGTTAGTATTAGCAGAAATCAGCTAAAAGCGTTATCGCATCTCATAAAAAAACAACAAAAATGATTTTAATTTCTTCTGATAATATTATACTTTTTTATACCAGCAATGAGCCACTATATGTACATAAAAATTTGTTTGTGTTGTTGTTAAAGAGTTTATTTTATTATAAATAGAACTTCTGCAGCGACAAAACATTCAGTAGGCCCACAAATTTCGGCCACTTTGAATAGTGAATTCCGTGATCAATTCAAAAGTGAAAAGGTGTGTTAAATGTGAAATTAAAAATATTTAATATAACTATTAAAAAAAATAATTATATGATTAAAAAATAAAATATATGATAAAAATTAAAAAGAAACAAATTTTGTTTTACAGAATGTCGCCTATATCTATTGCTACCATTTTGGTAGCTTGCTTATGCTTAGCATATGCTGCTCCTTTTGCTGAGGAGGTTCAAACCCCTGTACCTGCTGCCGATGTCAACTACCGTCTACCCTTAAATATTAAACCCATCAATTACAAAATTAATCTTAAGCCTTATTTGAATGAAACTCATCCCAAGGCCTTCAAGTTCGATGGTGAATGTTATGTTGAAATTCAAGCCCTACAAAATACCAAAGAAATTCAATTGCATATTAAGAATCTGAACATCACTGTAAGTGAATACTACAAAAAGGATACACCTTCAGCGAAAAAGAATTTGCCCACTGCTAGTCCCAATAGCTTGACCGATATTGTGGTTTATACCTTAACTGAAGAATTACAAGCTAATGTTTCATACATTTTGCATTATGTTTACACTGGCAGCATGGACGATGATATGCACGGTTTCTACCGCAGTTACTATAAAACTGCCAGCAATGTCACCAAGTAAGTTTATTAAAAGTTTATCAGGTTTTCAGTTATATAATTAAGTAAATTATTTGTTTATTTGCAGATGGCTTGGTTCCACTCAGTTCCAAAGAAATCATGCCCGCCGTGCTTTCCCCTCTTTTGATGAACCTAAATTCAAGGCCACTTACGATCTTTCTTTGACCCGCCACCGTAGCTTAAGAAGTGCCGGTCCCACTCGTTTAATTTCTATTAAGCCCGAGGGGTAAGTACATATTTCCCCGATTACTTTTGGAGTAACAATTCTAATATATCTATCTACCCTGTAGTGAATATGTTACTGATGTATATGACACTACTCCAAAAATGTCCACCTACATTTTGGCTTTCATTGTTTCCGAATTCAATGATCGTTATGATGGTGAGTTTGGTGTTCTTGCCAGACCCGAATACTACTCCCAAACCGAATACATTTTCGAGACTGGTAAGAAGCTGCTTAAAGCCTTAGACGACTACATGGGTATTCCCTACTATGAAATGGGTGATGACAAAATGCACTTGGCTGCTATTCCTGATTTCTCTGCTGGTGCTATGGAAAACTGGGGTCTCTTGACATTCAGAGAACGTGCATTGCTCTATGATGAAGAACACAGTACTTTGAGTTCGAAACAATATATTGCTGCTGTTGTTGCTCACGAACAGGCTCATATGTGGTGGGGTGATTTGGTAACCTGTGATTGGTGGAGTTACACCTGGTTGAACGAAGGTTTTGCTCGTTACTTCCAATATTACGGTACTGATATGGTAAGCAAGAACTCCTTAGAAAGTTGACACTACATAATATTGCCAAAATCGTAAATGGATCATTCTTTCAAGAATACTCACTAAAAATATATTTTCTATATAATTCTAGGTTGAAAGTTACTTTGATATGGACAGACAATTCGTTGTCGACCAAATCCAAAGTGTTATGGGTATGGATGCCACAAATGCTACCAATCCAATGAGTGACGAAGATACCCACACCCCTGCCGATTTAGGTCGTATGTTCAACAGTATTTCATACAACAAAGGTGCTACTTTCATTCGTATGACCAAATACATCTTGGGAGAAGAGAAATTCAGAACATCTCTAAATGATTATCTTAAAACTCAGTAGGTTTAAAATTTACCAAAAATATTTGAGTTCATAAAATAACATGAATAATTTTAAATATTACAGTGCCTATACCAATACCATTCCGTCCGATCTCTTTACAATTTGGAAAAAATACTGGCCTGCTGAATTTGCCCAGTATGCCGATGCTTATTTTGCCTCTTTCACCACTCAAGTTGGTTATCCTGTTGTTACTTTCAATCGCACCAGTCCTACTGTAGTACATATCAGTCAAAAACGTTTCTTATTAAAGGATTTTGAAACAGCCGATCCCAAATTAACCTACACAGTTCCCATTACCTACACTACAAGTGCTGAAAAGGATTTCGAAAATGCTAGTCCCAAATTCTTCCTCACACAACCTTATAAAATCGAAACAGTAAACGAGGATACTACTTGGATTATAGGCAACATTCAAGAGACTGGTTATTACCGTGTCAATTATGATACTCAATCTTGGCATCAAATTCATCATAAACTTTATTCTCACAACTGGGATGGCATTCATGAATTGAATCGTGCTCAAGTTGTTGATGATCTTCTGAATTTGGCTCGTGCTGGTGAAATCGAATACCGTTTGGCATTCGATGTCCTTGAATATCTTGAAACCGAAACCAACTACTTGCCCTGGACTGCCGCATTCAATGGTTTCAATTATATAACCATTCGTTTGGGTACCGATACTCAAGACTTTGCTCGCTATATCCGTTATCTTAGCAACAAGGCCTACACACAGTTGGGCTTTGAAGAAAAGAAAGAAGATACCACTTTGGATATTTATAATCGTGCTAAGATCTTAGCTTGGTCCTGCAAATACGGTAACACTGAATGTATTTCCAAGGCCAAATCTTACTTCAATAAAAACTTGAAGGCCGAACCTGTTCCCGTCAACATTCGTTCTGTTGTGTATTGTACCGCCATGCGTGAAGGCAATGAACAAGACTTCAACAAGCTGTACAACAAATTCAAGACCGAAACTGTTGCCACCGAAGAAACTTTGATCTTGAACTCTTTGGGTTGTGTTAAGGATAGTAAATTGGTTTCCAGATTCTTCCATATGATCGCCTCCGATGAAGTTCGTCGCCAAGATAAGTCAAGCGCTATGTCCAGCTTGTATTCCGAAAATAATGAAAATGTTGAACCTGTCTTTGACTTGGTCGACGAAAACGTTGATAAACTTGCCGAATCGTAAGTCTCAAACATATAGTTCTCTAAAAATGTAAAGTGTACTTATTATGTTTTCTTTTAGTATGGGTGATTACTCCTCCGTTGCTTCCATCGTCTCCAACATTGCTTCCCGTTTCACCACCGAAGCCCAACTACAAAAATTGAAGGTTTTCAATGCTAAACATAAAAACAAGTTCGGCAGTTCAGTCTCAACATTGGAAAGTGCTGTTAAGAATGTTGAATTTAACTTGGATTGGTCTAAAAAGAAGATGGGATTCATCAAGTCTTTCTTCCAAGAGCACGGTAAAAACAGTGCCGGCATTAACAGCGTCTCTTTTCTTACTTTAGCTGTAGTGGCCTTGATTGCCATGTTCTTCCATTAAATTGATTGTAGCAAACAATAGGATGATATTTTAATCCTGTGTGTTTTAGAAAGCTGCTATAATGGTTGTTAGTCTTGTTCTACGTCTACAGAAACTGTAGTTAACGTATTGTTATCTAATGTATTATAGTTAATTATTAAATTTACCTAAATATAATATATAAACAAATATTTTTAATATAAAACAACACTGAGTTTTCTAATAATCTTTTTGTGGGTGTGTTTAAAGGCTAAACGGCTGGGCCGATTTCTGTTAGAGCGTTTTCCTGTATTCCTGGAAGGAACTATAGGCTACTTTTTTAATGAAATTTGAGGCTGGTGAGGTACCACGCTCAAATTATATACTATATTCCGATACTTTAGTTTATTTAAAATATTTATTTTTAAGGAAAAAATGGGCGAACTATCAAAGGGGCATGGTAACTTCTATATGAATTAAATACCTAAATTCGTATATCTGAAAACTATCATAAAATTTCGCACGAACAACCTTGACATTCATATCAATATTAAGGGCAAAAGTGGACAGACCAGAGTTAAATAAAAAAATGCATACATATATCTGGAAAACTAGTAGAGCTCGAATCTTCATATTTTGCACGAACAAATTTGATAACCTTGTGCACCTTTTGGAGGAAAATAACAGAATTATCTATAAGGGTAAGGTATCGATATAACAGGTAATAGCTTTAGTATAAATATGAACATTTGATTGAAGAACAAGACCAAAATTCTTATATCTGGGAACAGCTGAAAGAAAAATGGTGAAACTAGTATTAATTGTGGTCGTGACACCTATTATGCAAAGATAAACAATTATATCTTAGACACGTAAATAATTAAAGTTTTAAAATGTTATACATTAAATTGCGGATTAGCAAAAACGGGAATGTTTCTTATCACAAAAAAGTTAATCGTAAAGGATTTTTTATACTGTTTTAAGGGTAGCGAAGCACACTGGGTCTAGCTACACCCAGTGTGTGACAATATGAATAACATTCTCTATATTATAAAGTTTTTAGAAAAAAAACTATTTCCATCGGAAGAATGCTGGGATTCTCCTCTCCCATTTGATACTCAAATTGACTTTACAGCTAAAACATGGTAATGTCTTGTACTTACTCAACAACTTACTTTTCAATTACTATTAGACTTTTAGACATTCATTTGTAAAATCGATTCTTCAACTTTTTTCTTACAAAATGATCGACTTTGATAGGGCAAAAAAAAGTTAACTTCGACAAAAAGTCTTCGATTATTTTAAAGTCGATTTATAAAACCCTAGGCAAAACATTTTTTGATATCATTTTAATTAATTTTAAAAATAATGAATTCAGTAATATATTATGCTTTTTACTTTAGTATATGTAATATCTACAATTTTTTCCGATACCCTTTCGGACCGATTTTATTATCTCAAATAAAAAAGCACAGCAAAACCTTTCCGCCAGAAATCAGCAATCACAAATCAAAACGTTATCGCTTTGAGTACAAATGCATCATCATACCCTCTCCAATGATAAAATGTCAAAATTTTATAAATTAATATATACTGATACGGTTTCTATAATCCAAAATAAAAGATCTCAACAAAATTACTATAACAAAAATGTCATTACACTAATACTAACACTAATTGCAATAGTATTACCAGATTTCCCTAGTATTACCACAAATCAATTGAAAACGTTATCAGCTTCATAAAAACCAGCAACAGAAATTATTATTAACTTATTTAGATAATACTTTTTTAGGTGATTAATATATGAGAGATATAATATATGAACAATTCCCAAAAATACATTAATACCATATAAAAAGTCAGTCTATTAATCATATATTTATTTACTGATTAAAAAATAACTGGCATATTGGTCTTCAAGACGTAACGATCACTTTCAAATTCTTCTTTCTACTCTAAAAATAAATCTTGGGAATTGCTCATATATGGTTGCTAAAGTGTTGATTTCTTATAAATAGAACTTCTGCAGCGAGCAAACTTTCAGTAGGCCCACAAATTTTGGCCCTTTTTAATAGTGAATTCCGCGCTCGAGTAATAAGGTGTGCTAAAGTATAATTAAGAAAAAACTAATTAGAACGAGTGAATATTAATAAACGGAAATATTTTATATTTTACAGAATGTCGCCTATATCTATTGCTACCATTTTGGTAGCCTGCTTATGCTTAGCATATGCTGCTCCTTTTGCTGAGGAGGTTCAAACTCCTGTACCTGCCGCCGAAGTCAATTATCGTTTACCCTTAAATATTAAACCCATCAACTACAAAATTAATCTTAAGCCTTATTTGGATGAAACTCATCCCAAGGCCTTCAAATTTGATGGTGAATGTTATGTTGAAATCCAAGCCCAACAAAATACCAAAGAAATTCAATTGCATATTAAGAATCTGAACATCACTGTAAGTGAATACTACAAAAAGGATACACCTACAACTAAAAAGAATTTGCCCACTGCCAGTCCCAATAGCTTGACCGATATTGTGGTTTACACCTTAACTGAAGAATTACAAGCTAATGTTTCATACATTTTGCATTATGTTTACACTGGCAGCATGGACGATGATATGCACGGTTTCTACCGCAGTTACTATAAAACCGCCAGCAATGTCACCAAGTAAGTTTATTAAAAGTTTATCAGGTTTTCAGTTATGTAATTAAGTAAATTATTTGTTTTTTTGCAGATGGCTTGGTTCCACTCAGTTCCAAAGAAATCATGCCCGCCGTGCTTTCCCCTCTTTTGATGAACCTAAATTCAAGGCCACTTACGATCTTTCTTTGACCCGCCACCGTAGCTTAAGAAGTGCCGGTCCCACTCGTCTAATTGAAATTAAACCCGAAGGGTAAGTACATATTTCCCCGATTACTTTTGGAGTAACAATTCTAATATATCTATCTACCCTGTAGTGAATATGTTACTGATGTATATGACACTACTCCAAAAATGTCCACCTACATTTTGGCTTTCATTGTTTCTGAATTCAATGATCGTTATGATGGTGAGTTTGGTGTTCTTGCCAGACCCGAATACTACTCCCAAACCGAATACATTTTCGATGCTGGTAAGAAACTACTTAAAGCCTTAGACGACTACATGGGTATTCCCTATTACTCAATGGGTGATGATAAAATGCACTTGGCTGCTATTCCTGATTTCTCTGCTGGTGCCATGGAAAACTGGGGTCTCTTGACATTCAGAGAACGTGCCTTACTCTATGATGAAGAACACAGTACGTTGAGTTCGAAACAGTATATTGCTGCTATTGTTGCTCACGAACAGGCTCATATGTGGTGGGGTGATTTGGTAACCTGTGATTGGTGGAGTTACACCTGGTTGAACGAAGGTTTTGCCAGTTACTTTCAATATTTTGGCACACACATGGTTAGTAATGGATTTATTCGTACGTGTTTAATGTTAACACAATATTTTTATTAGGTGGAAGACCATTTGCAAATGGATAAACAATTTGTTGTCGATTACGTTCAAAGTGTTATGGGTATGGATGCCACAAATGCTACCAATCCAATGAGTGACGAAGATACCAATACTCCCGAAGATTTGGGTCGTATGTTCAACAGTATATCATACAACAAAGCAGCCACTTTCATTCGCATGACCAAGTATATTTTGGGTGAAGAGAAATTTAAAACTTCTCTAAATGATTATCTTAAAACTCAGTAAGTTTTTTGTTGAAAAAAAAGAAGGAATTTTACCTATCATTAATTTATGTGATTTTTTTTTTACATTACAGCTCATATACCAATACCATTCCCTCCGATCTCTTTACAATTTGGAAAAAATACTGGCCTGCTGAATTTGCTCAATACGCCGATGCTTACTTTGCCTCTTTCACCACTCAAGTTGGTTATCCTGTTGTCACATTTAATCGCATCAGTGATACTGAAGTACAAATCAGCCAAAAACGTTTCTTATTGAAAGATTTTGATACAGCCGATCCCAAATTAAACTATACCGTTCCCATTACCTACACTACCAGCGTTGAAAAGAATTTCGAAAATGCTACTCCAAAATTCTTCCTTACTGAAACACCCAAAACCGTTACAGTCAACAAAGATGCTACATGGATTATGGGCAATATTCAGGAGACTGGTTATTATCGTGTCAATTATGATACTAAATCTTGGCATAAAATCCATCATAAACTCTATGCCAACAACTGGGATGGCATTCATGAATTGAATCGTGCTCAAGTTGTTGATGATCTTTTGAATTTGGCTCGTGCTGGTGAGATCGACTACAGTTTGGCTTTCGATGTTCTCGCATATCTTGAAACCGAAACCAACTACTTGCCCTGGACTGCCGCATTCAATGGTTTCAATTATCTAACCATTCGCTTGGGCACGAAAACTCAGGACTTTGCTAGTTACATCCGTCACCTCACCAACAAGGCATACAACAAATTGGGCTTCGAAGAAAAGAAAGATGATACTACTTTGGATATTTACAATCGTGCTAAGATCTTGGCTTGGTCCTGCAAATTCGGCAACACTGAATGTATTGCCAAAGCCAAATCTTATTTCAATAAAAACTTAAAGGCCGACCCTGTTCCCGTTAACATTCGTTCTGTTGTCTATTGTACCGCCATGCGTGAAGGCAATGAAGAAGACTTCAATAAGCTTTACAACAAATATAAGACTGAAACAGTTGCCACTGAAGAAACATTGATTTTGAACAATTTGGGTTGTGTTAGGGACAGCAAATTGGTTTCCCGATTCTTCCATATGGTTGCCTCCGATGAAGTACGCCGTCAAGATAAATCAAGCGCATTGAGCAGTTTGTATTCCGAAAATAATGAAAATGTTGAACCTGTCTTTGACTTGGTCGACGAAAACGTTGAAAAACTTGCCGACTCGTAAGTATAAACAATAATTTTACTATAAAATATGCAATATTCTTAAAATAAATTTCTTTTTTAGTATGGGTGGTTACTCCTCGGTAGCTACTGTTGTCTCCAACATTGCTTCCCGTTTCACAACCGAAGCTCAACTAACAAAATTGAAAGCTTTTAATACCAAACATAAAGATAAGTTTGGCAGTTCAATTTCCACTTTGGAAAATGCTGTAAAGACCGTTGAATTTAATTTGAACTGGTCTAAAACCAATTTAGGAGCAATCAACAACTTTTTGCAACAATATGGCATCAACAGTGCTGGCATTAACAGCATCTCACTTGTTTCCTTAGTTGTAGTGGCCTTGATTGCCATGATCTTCCACTAAAGATTTATGCTGTAAAGATAAACCTTTTTTGTGTGCAAGAGTTCATAGTTTTAAAACAAAAATTTGTTTGTTAACTTATTGTTATTTAATGTATTTTAGTTAATATATCCCTAAATATAATAATAATAATAATAATAAAAGAAAACCATAAAAAACTGTACATTTTGTATATATCTTTGTAAATATAATATGCTTAATCATAGTGGCTGGCGGCATTTGATATTTAATCTCACTTCCAATATTATTTCGATAACTATTTTATTAGAGCGATAATAATAAATCTAATCTAAATTTGGAATGTCGACAAGTTGTTAATAATACTGGCACATTCTGAAGTAATATGAAAAAAACTAGTTATAAATATTTAATAAAAAATCGTTTCTAGACATGATAACGAAAATGATTGACGAATCAGATGAATGAAATATATTGAAAACTGTTCTTTTATGGAGATTATAAAATCGATTTATAGCCTGATAGGATTAGTTATTGTTCTTTCTTAAAAAAGTGTTATTTTGCAAATCATTGTAATAAAATTCACTGGACCAGGCGGGACAAATAAAATACGTTAATCTGCGATTAATTTTATTTTCCAACAAAAGTTTATATTTTATATGGAAAACCTGAAATTTTTATCTTACTTTAATTTGCTATATTCATATATTATGGGTCGATTATATCGAAATTGTATAAATAAATTTTTAAGATTTATGATCAGCGATTTTCGGAATAGTAAACTCTATGCGTTCTAGAATCAATTATGGACTTGAATCAATTATGGACTGAATTGTACAGAATTTAAAAGATTAAAACATTTATCAACTATATATATAAAATACTAACGTTACTGACTGACCGATTCATCGTCGCACTGCATATAACGGTTGAAGCTAAAAAAAAAACTAAAATTTGGACAGAAGATTGGTCTGCCGCCAAACGGGATTTTGAAATTCTAACTTTTAGGAGATAAAAAAGAGCAAATTTGATAAGAACATAAAACCAAAACTAAACAAGTAAGAGTGTTATATTCGGCTGTGCCGAATCTTGTATACCCACCATCAAAACATTGCCGAAAAGGAATACTTCCTTATAAATAAACTCATTTTCTGAAGGGGACCTTATATGGGGGTAGAGTCAATTATGGACTCATCCTCATAAAATTTATGAAAATGATTTTAGTTCCTATAAAACTTTTTTATGTCGAATTTCATTGCTATATATGCTTCTTAAGGTCAGATATGAGCACTAAAGTCATTTTCTAAAGGGGACCTTATATGGAGGGTAGGGTCAATTATGAACCGATCCTTATAAAATTTTACGAAGAGATTTACGTTCCTATAAAATATGTTCCTGTCGAATTTCACCGCTATAGATGTTTCTTTTAGACAGTTACGAGCGTTAAAGTCATTTTGTGAAGGGGACTTTATATGGGGGTAGGGTCAATTATGGGCCTATTCTTCTAAAATTTTACAAAGAGATTTATGTTCATATAAAACGTGTTGGTGCCGAATTTCACCGATATTGATGCTTCTTTTAACCAGTTATGAGCAATAAAGTAATTTTCTCAAGGGAGCCTTATATGGGGGCTAGGCGAAATCGTGGACCGATATTGCCCATTTTCAATACCAAATAAACTGCATCAACTAAAAGTATCTGTGCAAAATTTCGCTAGCTACTTCCGTTTGGACTTTATCGTGTTTTCAACAGACAAACGGACAGACAGACAGACAGTCAGACAGACGGACGGACATGGCTAGATCGTCTTAGAATCTAATAAGGACCCAGAATATATATACTTTTATGGGTTCTTAGATGGATATTTCAATGTGTTACAAACAGAATGACAAAAACAATATACCCCCCATCTTTTTTGATGGTGGGTATAAAAAGATATGTACAACGAAAATTTAAAACTTATCGTTGTTCTTTTAGAACCTTTTAGGGAGTAATGGGGTAAATGTTGTATTTTGGTACTTATACGTACCCCACGTATGTTTATACCCTACACCAATATAGTGGGAGGGTGTTATGCGTTTAAGCTGATGTTTGTAACACCGAAAAATATTGGTCCTACACCCTACCTATATGTCCATCTGTGTGTCCACTCAAGATAATTTATGAAATTTGAAAGATACTCTTCTTTTGACCCAAGGACGAAGCCTATTGAAAATGGTTAAAATCGGTTCGTTATTTCCTATAGCCCCTATGCAACCGTACCGCACGAATAGGGTTTTTGAGCTCATAAATATGTTAAATGTTCTTGTATCACTTCAAAAATCGGCAGAACTTAGTTTTATATAAGTCTTAATGATACTGCTGATTTTCGTAATGATCGTGCCTCATTTGACCCTTCAGAAAACATTTATATCACGATGATATTCTGCATAAATAACAGATGTAGACGTAAATCCCTCTACCAAAATGTATAATAATAGGACCATATTAACCCACTGCCCCCATATAACCCATCTTTGAGAAAATCCCATTTTTGTCAACAAAGTATTAAATTTTTTCTAAATTAAGGTAAAAATTAAATTATACTTTACTCTTAAAAAGTAATCAAATTTTGTAACATAATCACTGATGTAGGGTATCATATGGTCTGCCAGGCCCGACTATAAAGTTTTGTCACTTTTTCTTTTTTCAACTAGTACTTTTTAAGTTATCTATAATACTGTACCTTGAACCATAAAAATAGAGTACATGAAAATCTCTAAAAGTGAACTTTTCTATATTTTTTATTTTATTTTTTAATTTAGGTCCTATAATCAGACATATAGGACCCTGAAAGGAATGAAAATCTATAAGAGTAAACTTTCAGGTACTCTTTGTTCTTCAACTGGGTACTTTTTATAACAATAAACCTGGAAACATGGACTTAAACACGTTAATGTTCGGTACTTTTCGTTATTCATGTGGTACTTTTTGATTTTCCCCAATATTGAAAATAAATAGAAATATAAAATCAGACATATAGCACCCTGACGTAAAAAAGTCTATAAAAAATTTTGTAGTTTTTTCAAGTATAAAATGGAGTAATTACAATATAGTCTATTCTATAGTCTAATCTTAATTCTAGTGTGTAGTATAGTGTATATTCTAGTCAGTAGTATAGTATATATATATAGTCTAGTCTTTAGTCTAGTCTATAGTCTAGCCTATAGTTTAGTCTATAGTCTAGTCTATAGTCTAGTCTATAGTCTAGTCTATAGTCTAGTCTATAGTCTAGTCTATAGTCTAGTCTATAGTCTAGTCTATAGTCTAGTCTATAGTCTAGTCTATAGTCTAGTCTATAGTCTAGTCTATAGTCTAGTCTATAGTCTAGTCTATAGTCTAGTCTATAGTCTAGTCTATAGTCTAGTCTATAGTCTAGTCTATAGTCTAGTCTATAGTCTAGTCTATATTCTAGTCTATAGTCTAGTCTATAGTCTAGTCTATAGTCTAGTCTATAGTCTAGTCTATAGTCTAGTCTATAGTCTAGTCTATAGTCTAGTCAATAGTCAAGTCTAAATCTGATGGTTTCTGGTGTTTTTTTTTTTTTTTTTTTTTTTTGACATAGAATTTTGGAAAAATATTGGCAACACTGTCCTTAAGCCATGAGACGACGAAAAAATCAAAAATCCATGCAATAGCGAAATAGAGTATAAAAAAAATTTGTTTAATAATGACATTTTCGACATCTATTTTCGCCGTCTAATATTTAAACAAAAAATTATTTTTTCGCCTTAAAATTAATTTTTGAAAGCCTGACGGTATGCCCATTATTTTCATAAATAATTTCCTTAAATAAAGTTATTTTCCTCAGTTTCTAAGCACTAAAATAATAAAATTTACTTTTAGATTATTGCTAACACACGTTTCCATTGATTAAAGAATTAGTATAGAAAATTTTGCTTAACGCACCAATAATTTTGCACACATTTCCAAACAATATTTTCGACATTAACAATTTTGACCAGAAAGCATTGTTATAAAACTTATAATCGCACCAAGTGTGTTTCAATAAAAATAATGATCGCATAATTTTCTATAGAAAAGTTTAATATAAGCAATTTGTGTTACAAAAAAAAATATTGATCTCTGTTTAGCCAAACAAACAAATAAATGCAAAATTTTTAAGGCAAAAATGCATTTTTGCAATATTTTGCATTTGAAAAATGTTGACTTTTCATAGATTTGTTTGCATTTTATTGCTTTTGAGTGGAATATAGCAAAAAGAAGTAAAAGTTATTTTTAAAATTTAGAAAGTGTTGACAAGGGCATATAAAAATCGGCTCATTTATTAGCAGAAAAAAAAAACGTTATGCCGACCGACATCTTGTTTATTGTTTGCTTTTTCAAGTGTTTACGAGTGTATTTGATTAATTTTTTAAACTTTAATCCCCCCATTAATTGTCGTAAATAATAACAGACATTTCGTATGCAATGGAAAATTAAACATTAAGATTAGATTTAGTAAAAATTGACCTGCTTAATTCACCAACAATTAGCACGTCTACATGTCTAGAGAGAATTTAATGTAAGCAGTTAGATAATATCTTTTTGAAAATGTAAACAAAAATCAGTCCAGCATTTTGAATAGATAATAGGGTCTTTAAATTGGCGCTTCAGTTTCCAATTAGAATAGATAACTACCTTTAGGATATCTTATCTTAGAACAAAAAATTAAATCAGTTTAGAATTTTGAATATATAATTGGGCCTTTAAATTGTCGCTTCAGTTTTCAATTAGAAGAGAAAACTGCCTTTAGAAGTAAAGCCAATTATTGACCCTTTTAAAGAGTTACTTACTCCGTAGTATTTCGAATACTAATTTCCTAGAATAATGGCTCAAATGTACATCGATCCTAAAAAGTTTTTAATGATTTTTTTCAAGATCAGAATTTCTTCTTAATATTAACTAATGGACATAGATGGGGCAAAAAGATTGTCCGCGGGACACTCTAATCCACATTCAATGACATTTCAAAATCGGATGAAACTATAGTTTATGGACTGATCATGCATACCACCATAAGAGAATTTGGTAAAGCTAGTTAAAGAGATTGTTTGTCTTAACTGTTTATCCGGAGCGAAACTTGGATAAATGATTCTGAGGACTAAAGTTCCATTTTGGGGGTTAGATTCTAAACGACCTGAAAGATTTGATTCAACACCGACCACTTTCAAGACAGACAGTTGAACATTTCTTAATCGGTGCACCAGGTAATGCCGATTAGTATGCTCTATAAAATATAATCATATGGAAAGATAAACTTTCTTCTTTTTTATTTAAAATCTGATATGAAGGATCAGGTCTGATTTTCAGAATTTTGATCATTTTTCCAATATTTTTGAACCGATTTTGCGGTGGCAAGTCGTAATGTCCAATATCATGTAAAGAATTGCTCACAACTTTGGTGTATGTTAAAAAACTTTCCCGTATATCCGTGGACATGGGGTATTCAACTGTGGCATGGGGTGTTTGATATCTAGACATTTTGTAATCCATGACCTTTATAACATTAAGTTAATGAACATTGTGACACTTTCTGGTGTGCCGTACAAATATGAAAATTCCCGAAACCATGTCTGAAATGATGAGCGAAAATATCTGGGGCCTTTATAAAATGTTCATCAATTCAAATTACTAATTGAATGGCTTTTCATAATGAAATTTAAATAAAATTTAAAAAAAAAAACCTTTACTCATCTAAGTCCTAAAATTAAGCCCCAAGTAGCAATTAATAAACCATATTATTTTATTAACTTTATTTTATAAACAATAAAAGTCCCCCTTTTTAAATGCTAATTAAAATCTTTTTCTATTTATTATTTTCTTAATCTGACAAAAACCAAACTCAAATTTCACTCAAATCGCAAACTTCAATGTATTATATGGACTAACCGACAATTGACTCATTAATCTAATCTCTTATTTGGGTTTGATTAAACTGGAAAAAAATATATAAAAACAACAATTTCTTTAAAAATTCTTAATTAATTTACTTGTTGGATTCGACAGTGAAACAGTATTTAGTTGACTTAATTGTTTCAGAGAGATCGCATGTATTGCTCCCACTAACTTAACACCCTCTCTGTGTGTGTGCGTGCTTGTGTATCGGTTCGGTACAATGGGGGCCGGTAAATTTGTAATATTATTTTCGCTACTGTGCGCGACGGGTTCATTGGCCCAAGAATATCGTTTAACTAAAAATATCATACCCGATTTGTATGACATACATATCAAACCTTATCTGCGTTCGGAAGACGTTAACAAACAGTTTACATTTGATGGTGAAGTCAACATAACACTGCACACAGTTGTCAAGAATTTAAAAGAGATTACACTGCACAAAGATCTCATAGAGATACTTGAGGCACAACTTTACGATGCAAATGGCAAGGTGGTGCAAAAAATAGATAATAAATCTATGAATTATGATGTCAAGACTAATAAACTTTTGTTAAATTTATCTACGTCGTTGGCGGTGAATGAAAGTTATAATTTGTATTTTAAGTATCAGGGTCAGATACGTAACGGCAAGGAGGGTTTTTACCGAGCCACCTATGATAATGTTAAGTAAGTTGTTAAATTAAAAAAAATTGTTTTTTCATATTAATGAAAGTAAATATTTAAATGATTTTAGTACTGGTTTATTTTTTTATGATAAAAAATTTTATTTTCGTAAATATTTTTATGTGCATTTGGTTATCTGGTTATGTTCCAGAATTTTCGCCTAAACTTAGGAACAAAAGGCAATAAACCTCTGATTTAGTATTTTTTTTTTAGTTAAATTTTTAATGAAAATTTCCAAAAAATATTTAAAAATAGATAATTTAATTCTTAGATTTATAAAAAAAAATTATTAGATTTTAAAAATTTTTCAGTGTTTTTATAAAAATTCTTCAAAAATTTTAATTCCTAATCTTTTTAATTTTTATAAAAAAATCACAAAACTTAATGAGTGCTTTTTATTTATTTATTTTTTTTTTATTATTTAAAAGTTAAGAAATTTTCCATAAAAAAATTTAATAAAAATTTGCGTGAGATATAATTTTAGAATAAATTTTTTAAAAAGATTGAAGAAATAGCTGTCTAAAGTCCTTTGGACAATTTCTGCTAGGACCAATAGGTGAAAACTTACACTCATTTCAAATAAACCCTGTATGACTAAAATGTTCAACTTTAAAAGTTGGGTCACTTGTAACGAAATTGCCCATAACAATATAATATAATCGGGATATATCTGAAATATGTAAAATGTTATTTCAGAATTTTTACCTAATCTCACATATGTATTTTGGATTAATTTTTTTGGTTTCAAACAACAAAAATCTCGAAAACAAATCTTATGGAATGATCCAAAATTTGAGTATCGAAGGTATTTTGGGGCCTTTAGATCGTAAAATTGACTTCGTTATCTATAAGGGGATTCAAATTATAATTTATAGGTTCAAAGGTGTCGAAGAGAATATTCTGCTAAATAATTAAAGTCCTAATTGACTCGTGTAGCGAGTAATGTCTCCAATTTATATGGCAAAGACTCGACTAACACGAATCTGTAATATATATTTTTTTAATTATTTTTTTTTTAATTTTCAAAATCATGAGTGTCGGACTAAGGATATTATTTCTGAAATAAATTATCAAAAATTTTAATATCTAAGATTTTTGGGAACCTTAGAAAATAATTAATAAACATAAAGAGGAACAGACAGATATTCGGACATATATATTGTAAAATCGATTTCGTTATCTGTAAGGATTCAGATTATAATATTTATAAGATCGAGGGTGTCGAAGAGAAAATTTTTGCTAAATAATTAAAGTCCTATTAAACTGATATAGCGAGTGATGTCTCAAATTTATATGGCGGGGATTCGACCAACACAAATATGTGATATATTTTTAAAAATAAAGCAAATTTTCAAAATCATGGGTGTTGGACTAGGGATATTATTTCGGCTATTAATTTAGCAACAATAAAGGGGTTTTTCCTTAATAAATATCCTTTAGAGTTTCATTAATATTTGTCACTAAATCGGTCACTAAAGGTAAACATTTATCAACAATTTATCCGTTTTTATACCCTACTCCAGGGTATATTGGGTTTGTGCTGATGTTTGTAACGCAAATAATATTGGTCCTATACCCACCTTAAAGTATACCAATCGGCTTAGAAACATTTTTTGAGTCGAATTTGGTATATGATCTTCTATTGTCCCAGGGACGAAGCCTATTTAAAATGGTTAATATCGGCCCATTATTTCACCTAGCCCCCGTACAACTGAGCCCGACGAATAGGGCTCAATATACTCGTATCTCGACAAAATGCTGCAAAATCAAGTTCTATACTAGCCTTGATGGCCCACATGAATTTTATAATTATAGGGTCTCATTTAGCCCCTACATAAAGCCCCCTTCAAAATTTGACTTAAATGTCCACAATTTTATTCAAGTATATCTGAGGCAAGGTACAATTCAACTTAAATGCTTTATTATAAAAACTAAATCACATTTTATTTTTGTAACAGGTACATATAGGGTATTATATGGTAGGCTTCGCCCGACTATAATTTCTTACTTGTTAAGGACTGCATTTATGAACAAACACCGAATTATTAAAAATCAAAAAAATATCCTAAAATTTCAGTTGGTATGGCATAACACAATTACATAGAATCGATGCTCGCACAGTATTTCCTTGTTTCGATGAGCCCGAATTTAAAGCCAAATTCCGTATGCACATAAGTCGGCCCAACAAATACAGCTCATACTTCAATACACGATTAGAGAGAACTACCAGTGATGAGTAAGTAAAATCTATAAAGATCTTCTAGAAGGAAATTAAATCTAAAATTTTTTTTAGAACCGATTGGTCCACAGATCACTTCGAAGAAACTCCTATAATGTCCAGCTATTTGGTGGCATTTTTGATAAGTGATTTTCAGGCATATGGCAATGAGGATTTAAAAATTATAATGCATTCGAAATATAATGGTAAAACCAATTTTGCCTATGAGGTGGGTTTGAAAGCTTTAGACGCCTTAGATAACTATACACAAATGCCTTATAAATCTATGGGTAATACGATCATGCAAAAAGTCGGTTCTAATCATTTTCCTCATAGTGGTATGGAGAATTGGGGTTTGATTATATATAAGTAAGTAGTTTTTTTATAAATACAGTTAAGAATATTATTAATAATACAAATTTTAACTTAAGGGATTCGGCTTTGGCTCATGAACCCGGCTATACAGATGGTTGGTCCAATAAACAATATACCGTTAGTTTGGTAACACATGAAACTGCTCACATGTGGTTTGGCAATAGTGTAACTCATAAATGGTGGAGTTATTTTTGGTTAAATGAAGCTTTACCGAATTTTTATCAATATTTCTTGGGTCAAGAGGTAAGTTCTTTGATTTAAATCTGTTTTATTTATATTATATAGTTTAATTTAATTCATTTAGATATATCCTGAATATGAATTGGATAAACAGTTTCCTATTAAGGAAATTCATACAGTATTTGATATTGATGCTACTAATAATACACAACCTATGTCTAGTTCCGAGCAATCTATAAATACACCTTTAGAAATTGGTTCAAAATTTAGTGATATAGCTTATTCTAAAGGTGCTATAGTGCGCATGATTAGAAATTTAATGGGTAAAGAGAATTTCGATGCCGCCATAAGAGATTATTTAAAAGAAAAGTAAGTTTAAATTCAATTTCGAAATATACTTTTGATTTAATTTTTAATTATAATTTATAGCCATTTGAAAACCACCGTACCTGAAGATCTTTTTAAACAATTTAAAAAGCATTGGCCCTCAGGTCCCTCGGTAGATTTAGATGAATTTTTCAAAGATTGGACCGAACAAGTGGGCTATCCTATGGTTATTGTTTCAATTAGTCCCACGGGACGTTTTTCGGTAAAACAACAAAGATTTCTGCTGGATCCCTCAGATGGCAGTGATGCTTCCCTAAAATATACCATACCTATTACCTTCAACAATGATCATATGAATGATTTCAACAATTTTGTACCAAAATTCTATTTGACTAAAGATCAAGACGAAAGATTATTTGCTAATGCTGCTCATCACAAGTGGATCGTCGTCAATACCCAACAATCGAATTACTATAGAGTGTTTTATGCCCCTGAATTGTTGCGTGAAATATGTAAAGTTTTAAAGGAATCTCAACACTCGGGTATACATGTTAATAATCGGGCCAGTATGGTTGATGATCTCTTTACCTATGGTCGTATTGGCTTAAAAGGTTACGATGAAGTGTTAGAATTTATGGAATATCTAGCCACTGAAACCGAATATTCTCCTTGGCAAGCAGCTTTTAAAGGTTTCGATACAGTACACCAACGTTTGACTTTGGCCCAACAATATAAATTTTCTAGCTATCTATTTGAACTACTTGATAAGGTATATCAGAAATTGGGTTTTGAAAACTCTAATGATTCTGTATTGGATGTTTACAATCGCAATAAAGTTATCAACTGGCTTTGCAAATATCATCATAAGGATTGTAATGCTCAAGCCCAAAGTATGTTCCGTAAATTTGTAACAACTTATAGAAAACCTAATCCCGATTTCCGAGAAACTTTATATTGTGCTGCTGTGCGTAATGATCAAACAGATATTTATGACAATTTAAAGGAAATGTTTTTAAATCAAAATCAAGCTAGTGAAAAGGAAAAAATCTTACGTGCCCTGGGTTGTACACGTTATTTTGTAGAAGATCACTATGATTTTATATTATCAAATAATGTGGCTGATGACTTAAAAGAATCAGCTCTAAAGAGTTTGTATAGCCAGACTGCCGAAAATATTATAACGGTGTTTAATTTGATGATTGAAAATGTGGAGCAGTTGAAAGAAGCGTAAGTATCTTTTGCTAAATTCTTAATTAAACAAAATTTAAATTTTGTTCGTCTTTAGCTTACAAACCTGGTCCAATACCGCTAATGTAATCAGTGAAATTTCCCAATATTTAACCACTCCAGAGCAATTGGTGTTATTAAAACAATTTACCAAAGAAAAAGGCCATTTATTCGGTACATCGGTAACAATTTTGGAAAATGCCATTAAAACGACCGAAAAGAATTTCTCCTGGGCTAAAACTTATTTAGCAAAGTTCCTCAGTTATCTTACTGTACGTAATGTCAACTATCGTCTAACTAAAGATATTATACCCGATTTATATGACATTCATATTAAACCTTATCTAAGAAGTGAAGATCAAACGAAACAATTTACTTTCGATGGACAAGTTAATATAACATTGCATGCCGTTAAAGAAAGCCTAAACACCATAACTTTGCACACCAATTATATAGACATTTCCGAAGCCATACTTTATGATGATAAAGGCAAGGTTGTGGAAAATATTAATAGTGGTAAAATGCTTTTGGAAACCGTTACCAATAAATTGACTTTATACTTAAACTCAAAACTGGAGGTGTTGACAAATTATACTTTGTATTTCAAGTATCAGGGTGAAATACGTAATGGTACCGAAGGTTTTTTCGGCATTACTTATGACAATATCAAGTAAGTTTAAAATTTTCTTGGATTCGGGAATATTTTTCTTTATTTTAATTCAAAATTTCTAGTTGGTATGGCATAACTCAGTTGCATAGAATTGATGCCCGTTCAGCCTTCCCTTGTTTTGATGAGCCGGAATTTAAGGCCAAATTCCGTATGCATATAAGTCGGCCCAAAGAGTATAATTCTGTTTTCAATACCAGACTAATCGAGTCCACCATAGAGGGGTAAGTTTAAGTTTTAAAATTACTCAGGCCAATAGTATTGATCTGCGCTGAATAAGTATCAGGCCTCAGAATTTCTTCATCACATCTGATTTTTCAAAAATTGTGTAATGAATATTGAAAAACCTCCACTTTAGACCATATTTGAGACCCTTTAGCACTTTTGTTTACAAAGCTTGTCATGTAATCTGAAAATCCCATCTGTCAACTTTAAACTAAAGGTTATATCTTCTTTTCAAGATGTCTTAAATATAAAACCACTTAATACTCAAAAAATAGTTTTTTAGTCTGAAAATCTTGAGGAAAAAAGAAGATATAACAGCGGTCAAACTTTTATTTTAAAGTCGACAGATTGGACTTCCAAATAACATATCAAAGTTAACTTCGCGCTATTATAAAGTCCCAAATATGATCAAAATAAGATTTCTTAATCTTTAAGAGACGATATCTGGAAAACTTTATATAGTGAGGCCAGATTCGGATTCCTTTAGAAAAGTAGACCTTATAAGTAAATTTTTTTATATTTCTTTCCAATAGCAACGATCGTTATGTGGATCATTTCGAGGAGACTCCAGTTATGTCTACCTATTTGGTAGCATTTGTGATAAGTGATTTCGAATCGTATGGCAATGACGATTTAAAAATCATAATGCATTCGAAATTTAATAATAAAACCAATTTTGCCTATGAGGTGGGTTTAAAGGCTTTACAGGGATACGATAACTTTACACAGTTACCCTATAAGTCTTTAGGCAATACGATCATGCAAAAAGTCGGTTCACCTAGTTTCCCTCACAGTGGCATGGAAAATTGGGGTTTAGTTATATACAAGTAAGTGTTGGCAATAAAATTTATTTGATTTAATAATTTTGATTCTTAAATTTCTCTGCTAAAAGGGATTCTGTATTGGCTCATGAATCGGGCTACACCGATGGCTGGTCCGATAAACAATACACGGTTAGTTTGTTGGTTCACGAAACCGCTCACATGTGGTTCGGTAATAGTGTAACACATAAATGGTGGAGTTATTTTTGGTTAAATGAAGCCTTTGCTCGTTATTATCAATATTTTATGGGTCAAGAGGTAAATAACAAAAACAATATTTAATGAAAAAGTAAATAATTTAAATACTTTGTGTTACTTTTTACAGCTTTACCCTGAATATGAATTTGATCAACAATTTGTGGTCAATCAGCTACAAATGATATTTGAGGTAGATGCTACCAATAGTACCCAACCCTTGACCAGTCTTGAGGAATCTGTTAATACACCCATTGAAATTGGTGACAAATTTAGTAGTATTGCTTATGCCAAGGGAGCCTCCATATTGCGCATGTTTAAAAATTTAATGGGTAAAACTAATTTTGATAATGCCATTAGGGAATATCTAAAAGAAAAGTAAGTTTTATATTTTTCAAATTATATAAACTGATTTTTAATAAAATATCTCTTACCCATAGCCACTTGCAAACCACTGTACCCGAAGACTTCTTTAGAGCCTTGAAAAAACACTGGCCTTCGGGACATAATGTAAACTTGGATGAATTTTTCACAGATTGGACTGAACAAGAAGGTTATCCCATGGTTTTGGTATCGGCCGTTAATGGCAGATATTCTCTAAAACAGCAAAGATTTTTACTAGATCCGCAAGATGGCAGTGATGCCTCCATAAGATATACCCTACCAATTACCTTTACCCATGATAAAATGAGTGATTTTACAAATCTAACACCTAAATTCTATTTGAGTAAGTCCCAATCGGAAAAGGTATTTGGTAATATTAATCCTCATCGTTGGATGATGGTTAATATGCAACAATCCAATTATTATCGGGTATTCTACGATGATCACTTGTTGGAGAAACTACGTATAGCCTTTAAAGAAATTAATTTCTCACGTATTCATGTAAACAATCGTGCCAGCATGGTGGATGATCTTTTGACATTTGCCCGTGCCGGTCTAAGGGGTTACGATGAGGTTTTACACTTTTTGGAATATTTAGCTGCAGAAACGGAATATTTACCCTGGCAGTCCGCTTTTAAGAATTTTGATCTTTTATATCAACGTTTAACTTTGGCTCAACATGATAAATTTTCCTCCTACTTATTTGAAATTCTAGACAAAGTTTATCTTAAACTGGGCTTTGAGAAATCAAATGATTCGATTTTAGATGTCTTTAATCGCAATAAAGTTATCAGCTGGCTTTGCAAATATCATCATGAGGATTGTAATACTCAAGCTCAAAAAATATTCCGTTCTCATTTGTTAGCCAATACCAAACCAACAACCGATTTTCGCGAAACTCTATATTGTGCCGCTGTACGTAATGATAATACCGATATTTATGGTAATTTAAAGGAAATGTTTTTGCAACAAAAATTAGCTAGTGAAAAGGAAAAAATCTTGCGTGCCATGGGTTGTACCCGGTTTTATGTAAAACAGCATTTTGATTTTATATTATCAATTAATGTAGCTAACGAATTAAAGGCCATAGGTTTAAAGGGCTTATACAGTCAAACTCCTGAAAATATTATTCCCGTATTTAACTTGATTATTGAAAATATCGAACAGTTGTCGGAAAGGTAAGTTTTTTTTCAAAGAAAGCCTAAACACATTAATACTTTCTTCTCGTTTTTATAGTATGCAAGCATGGTCCACCACTGCTTCGGTAATTGAAGACATTTCTCTGTATTTAACCAATCCCGAGCAATTATCTTTATTAAAACAATTTACTCAAGAAAAGGGACATTTATTCGGTACATCGGTTAATATTTTGGAGAATGCTATTAAAAATGTTGAAAAGAATTTCAATTGGTCGGCTTTACATTTGGGAAAATTGCTTAATTATCTTACACTACGTAAAGTTGAATATCGTCTAACTAAGGAGATTACGCCCGTGGTATATGATATCTACATTAAACCCTACCTCAAGCAAAAAGATGGTGCTAAACAATTTACCTTTGATGGTGAAGTCAATATAACTTTACGGGCTAGTGACAAGAATCTTAGAAAAATTATCTTGCACAAAGATTATATTGATATTTTGGAGGCGAAGTTGTATGATGCTGAAGGAAAATTGATTGAAAATATTTATAGTGGATCTATGCTCTATGAATCTTTAACTGACAAGCTTACCGTGTATTTATTAATGCCTTTGGAGGTGAATACTTCATATACCTTGTACTTTAAATATCAGGGTCAGATACGCAGTGGTTTGGCGGGAGTTTTCCGAGCCACTTATGATAATGTCAAGTAAGTTGAAAGAATTATATCAGTTTCATTCTAAATATAGATTTTAATTATCTCCTTTATAAATTCATGTTACTGATTCCTATTACTAGTCTGATATAAGAGGTTTTGAAAATATATAGATAACACAAGTCAACAAAATTTTTTAAAAGTATAATTTTTAGAGTATAATTTTTCCGTCATATCAGTTTTTCGAGATAAGGCCATTTTCGAAATATTATAATAGCCCGAATACATCTTTATATATAAAATTGTTTATATCATCTTAAATTCCAATCTGCCGACTTTAAAATAAAGGTTTAACCTCTATAACATACTTATTTATCCTTCTTCGAGATATCTTCAGAGATCTACCGAGATCTCAGCAAATATTTAAAAAGTATTTTTATGGGAATTTTCAGTTTTGATACAATTATAGTTGTATCAAGATTTATGTTAATATATCTCTAAGGAAAATGAAGATATTACAAAAGTCGAAACTTTATTTTAAAATCGACAATGACATAACAGATTTTCTAAATAAAGGAGTCTTAATGCTGTTATCATGTCTGAAATATAACCAAAAACGAAATCTTTCAATATTTGGGGGCACGGTATCTCGAATACCTAAAGTTGTTCAGAAATTCAAAATTTGGATTTAAAGGAGCTCAATTCTTTAGAAATGAATAGTTAGGTTAATATGGGTTAAGAAATTGACCTGTGTAACCAATACCTACAAAACTTGGCTAGGTAAACCGATTTACTATATTATAATCTGTAAATCCTTACAGTACTGATATTACTTATATATCGTTTTGGATTATGATTTCAGTTGGTATGGAATAACCCAGTTACAAAGAATTGATGCCAGAACAGCTTTTCCCTGCTTTGATGAGCCCGAATTTAAGGCCAAATTCCGTATGAATATAAATCGGCCCAATGAGTATAAATCCTACTTCAATACACGCCTAATAAAGTCTACAAATGATGGGTAAGTTCAAACTCAAAACTATTCCAAAAAAATATTCTATTATAATTTTTTTATTTTCAGAAACAATAACTCTATTGATCATTTTGAAGAAACTCCTCTCATGTCAACATACTTAGTAGCATTCATCATCAGTGATTTTGAAACTCAAGGAGAAGAGGATTTCAAACTTATTATGCATTCAAAATTCCATAATAAAACCAATTTCGCCTATGAGGTAGCTAAGAAGATCTTAAAGGCTTATGATAACTACACACAACTACCTTATAAATCTTTGGGTAATTCGATTATGCAGAAAGCGGGATCACCACGTTTCCCTCATAATGGTATGGAGAATTGGGGTTTAGTTATTTACAAGTAAGTTTTCAACATAAAATCGCAAAATTAACTTAAATATAATGATATATTTTCCTTAAAAAGGGACTCAGTACTGGCTCATGAACCTGGTTATACAGATGGTTGGTCTGACAAAGAATACACTTTAACTATATTGGCTCATGAGACCTCCCACATGTGGTTCGGTAATAGTGTAACATTTAAATGGTGGAGTTATTTCTGGTTAAATGAAGCTTTTGCCCGTTATTATCAATATTTCTTGGCACATGAGGTAAATTTCAAAATTTTGGATTGGATTTTATTCAATTTCTAAAGAAATCTAAACTTTTTACAGTTATATCCCGAATATGAATTAGACAAACAATTCACTGTAAAACAAGTTCAACTTATATTTGCTACCGATGCTACAAATAGTACACAACCTTTAAGCAGTCTTGAGGAAACGATAAATACTCCTAAAGAAATTGGTTATAAATTCAGTGGTATTACTTATGCCAAGGGAGCCGCTATAGTGCGCATGTTTGCCAATATAATGGGTAAAGAGAAATTCGATCAAGCTGTTAGAGAGTACTTAAAAGAGAAGTGAGTAGAAAAAAATAGGAAAGTGAGTAGAAAAAAATTTAATATTTTCTCTCCACAGCCACCTGAAGAACGTGGTACCCGAGGATTTATTCAAATATTTGAAAAAACATTGGCCCAAGGAACACAAAGTAGATTTGGATGCATTATTTAAAGATTGGACCGAACAAGTGGGTTATCCAGTGGTGACAGTATCAGCCAGTCCTAGTGGTAGATTTACTCTGAGACAAAAACGATTTTTACTAGATCCCCATGATGGTAGTGATGCCTCCCTGAGATATACCATACCCATAACCTTTAACAATGATATGAAGAATAATTACACAGAATTCACACCAAAATTCTATTTCAATAAAACCCTAGAGGAAGTGGCTTTCGGTAATACGGCTCATCATGATTGGGTTATAGTGAATACACAACAATCCAATTATTATCGTGTATTCTACGAAGCCGATCTTCAAAAGAATTTACGTAAAGCATTCGAACAAGTTAATCATTCGGGCATACATGTTAGCAATCGTGCTAGTGTTGTGGATGATCTTTTTGCTTTTGCTCAAATTGGTATGAAAGGCTATGATAAACTATTGGACTTTATGGAATATTTGTCTACCGAAACAGAGTACACACCTTGGTATGCCGCTTTTAAGGGATTCGATTACCTATATCAACGTATGACTTTGGCTCAACATGATAAATTTGCTGCTTATCTTGGGGAAGTAATGGACAAAGTCTATCAGAAATTGGGCTTTGAAAATTCTCAAGATACTGTTTTAGATGTCTATAATCGCAATAATGTTATCAGCTGGCTTTGTAAATATCATCATAAAGATTGTAATGCTCAAGCTCAGCAAATATTCCGTTTACATTTGTCGGCCAACACCAAGCCATCTCCCGATTTCCGGGAAACTTTATATTGTTCAGCCTGTCGCAATGATCAAACAGATATTTATGCAAATCTGAAGAAAATGTTTGTTAAAGAGGAATTAATTAGTGAAAAAGAAAAGATTTTACGTGCCATGGGTTGTACACGTTATTATGTGGCAGAGCAGTATACGTTCTTATTGTCCAGTAATGTTTCTGTGGAATTGAAAACTATGGGTTTGAAAAATTTATACTCTCAAACTCCAGAAAATATTATGCCGGTGTTTAAGCTGATAATCGAAAATGTTGAGCAACTGCAAGAAGCGTAAGTTTATAATTGAATATATTTAAAAATAATCAAATATTTAGGTTTATTTTTCTATTTAGTTTGCAAAGCTGGTCCACCACCGCTGAGGTTATACGGGAAATTTCCAACTATTTAACCACCCAAGAGCAATTGTTACTTTTAAAACAATTTACCCAAGACAAAACCGCTGAATTTGGAACATCCATTAACATTTTGCAAGATGCCATTGCAAACACCGAAAGCAATTTAAAATGGTCGGCTACACATTTGGGAAATATGATACGTTATCTGAATAATCGTAAACCTCAATATCGTTTAACTAAGGAAGTACTTCCCGATGTATATGATATTTATATCAAACCCTATCTTCAAAATGAAGATGCTGCTAAACAATTTACTTTTGATGCTGAAGTTAATATCACCCTTCATGCTGTTGAAGGCAATATTAGAAAGATTACTTTACACAAAGATTATATTGACATTCTGGAAGCAGTACTTTATGATTCTAAAGGAAATATTGTGGAAAATATACAGGAAGAAGCTTTACTATATGAACCCCTTACAGATAAGCTAACGGTTTATTTGTCTAAGGATTTGGAGAAGAATAAAAAGTATACTTTATACTTAAAGTATCAGGGACAGATACGTAATGGTTTAGCTGGAGTTTTTCGTGCCACTTATGATAATGTCAAGTAAGTTGGAAGATGTAAAAAAAGTTAAAAAAAGTAAAATTTTTAATAAAATTACTCATTTCATAGTTGGTATGGTATAACCCAATTACAAAGAAATTATCATGCATTCGAAATTCAATGGTAAAACCAATTTTGCTTTTGATGTTGGACACAAAACATTAGAGGCCTATGATAGTTATACCCAACTGCCTTATAAATCTTTGGGCAATTCTTTAATGCAAATGGCTGGTTCCACACGTTTTCCTCACAATGGCATGGAGAATTGGGGTCTAGTTATATACCAGTAAGTTCTAACAGTATTTCATTCATATCCATCTAATGGCCACTAATTATTGTTACTTTTAGTGATTCTGTTTTGGCTCAAGAACCCGGTTATACAGATGGTTGGTCCGATAAACAATATGCTTTAACTATTTTGGCTCATGAAACTTCTCACATGTGGTTTGGCAATAGTGTTACCTTTAAATGGTGGAACTATTTCTGGTTGAATGAAGCTTTTGCCCGTTATTATGAATATTTCATGGCCCATGAGGTAATTAATAATTTTTATAAATTTTTTATGAATTTTTGCTAAAATTTTAACTGTTTTTGCAGTTGTATCCCGAATATGAATTGGACAAACAATTCACTGTTAAGCAAGTTCAACTTATATTTGGAACAGATGCTACTAATAATACTCAACCCTTGACTAGTCTTGAGGAAACGATTAATACCCCCAGTGAAATTGGTTACAAATTCAGCGGTATTACTTATGCCAAGGGAGCAGCTGTCCTGCGCATGTTTGCCAATATAATGGGTAAAACGAATTTCGATCAAGCTGTCAGAGAGTACTTGAAGGAAAAGTAAGTAAATTATCACATAAGAATACTAATTAAATTATCTAAATTATAAACTTAATTAATTTCTTTCTATAACAGCCACTTGAAGAACGTAGTGCCCGAAGATTTATTCAAATATCTGAAAAAACATTGGCCCAAAGACCACCAAGTAGACTTGGATGAATTATTTAAAGATTGGACCGAACAAGTGGGCTATCCAGTAGTGACAGTAACTGCCAGTCCTAGTGGTAGATTTACACTGAAACAAAAACGATTTTTACTAGATCCCAATGATGGTAGTGATGCCTCCCTGAGATATACCATACCCATAACCTTTAACAATGATATGAAAACCAATTATACAGAATTCACACCCAAATTCTATTTCAATAAAACTCTAGAGGAAGTCGCTTTTGGTAATACTGCTCATCACGATTGGGTCATAGTAAATACACAACAATCCAACTATTATCGAGTTTTCTACGAAGCTAAACTTCAGAGACACTTGCGTATAGCTTTTGAACAGGAAAATCATTCGGGCATACATGTCAGCAATCGTGCTAGTGTAATTGATGATCTTTTCACTTTCGGTCTTGTGGGCCTTAAGGGTTATGATGAAATTTTTGAATTTATGGAATATTTAGCTACAGAAACTGAGTACACACCCTGGTATGCAGCCTTCAAAGGTTTTAATAACGTGTATGTACGTTTGACCTTAGAACAACATAAAGAATTTGGCAAATTTTTAATTGAAGTACTCGATAAGGTTTATAAAAAACTAGGATTTGAAAATCCTAATGATACTATTTTGGATGTCTATAATCGCAATAAAGTTATTAGTTGGCTTTGTAGATATCATCATGAAGATTGTAATGCTCAAGCCGTACTTAAATTAAATGAGTACTTAACGGCCAACACCAAGCCATCGCCTGATTTCCGAGAAGCTTTATATTGTGCTGCTAATCGTAATGATGCTCTCAATATTTATGATAGTCTCTTAAGAATGTTTAACGAAGAGGAATTGATGAGTGAAAAGGAAAAGATTTTACGGGCCATGGGTTGCACACGTTATCTGGTTAAGTCACATTATGAATTTATATTGTCAGATAACGTTCCTCAGGAGCTAAAAACCACAGGTTTAAGTAGTTTGTATAATCAAACTCCTGAAAATATAAAAACAGTATTTCAACTAATGACCGATAATGTGGAGGAACTAGAAGAAGCGTAAGTTTAAAATACTAATCTAGATAAGAAAATATTATTAATGTTAACATATTTCTCTTTAGTTTACAAAGCTGGTCCACCACTGCTGACGTAATCAGTGGTATTTCCAATTATTTAACCACTCAAGAGGAACTGAACATGTTGCTACACTTTACTAATGAAAAGGGTCATCTCTTTGGCTCATCAATTAGGACTTTGGAAAATGCCATTACTTCTACTGAAAACAATCTTAAATGGGCCGGTTCACATTTGGGCAAATTGTTTTCGTATCTCGATGGACGTAATAGTGCAACCACTACTACAGCAGCCCTATTTTTAATACCCCTCTCCTTGATAACATTGCTAATGTTTATGTAAATTAAATTTAATTTTAATAGATTTTTTCCCATACACTCTATTGAAATTGCCGCAATTATGCAAAATTACAGTAATTAAATTAAAACGAAATGTATTATAACGAAGTGCCATATGAATATTTCGTATAACGTAATGAAATTATGCAAATAAAAATGTATTGTAAATTAATACTTAAAATAGTGCCATATTTTTAAAAACTAATAGAAAATGTAAATAAATTATAGCTTAAAGTATTTCAAAATACCATGGTTTGCATTTTTTAGGATCAATATAATTATCATTAAGTATTTTCAAAGGGTTAATTAATAATTTGGATCAAATGAAATATTTTCAGCGTTTACATAATATGTAAATATATTATATTGATTACTAGCTATACCCAGTGTGCTTTGCTACCCTAAAAGGAATATGTATAAATAAATACCAGATTTATTATATGTTACATATAAAAGATGTCAAGCAAATTATTGCAAGTTCGCCAGTTTCTATCTATCGCCAATTTCTATCTATCTACAAAAAATTTGAATAATATAAGAGTTTCCAAGATGCACGAAATTTTGTATTTAATTCATATATGTGGTGCCAAGCCCCCCATTGAAAGTCCGCCCCTTATTCTCTAAATGTTCACATGAATGTCAAAGTTCTTCATGTAAAATTTTAAGATTCTAGCTCTAATAGTTTCTCAGATATACGAATTTAATTCATGTGGGGGCTTCAAGCCCCCCGGATGAAAGTCCGCCCTTTTTCCTCCAAAATATTCAGATGATTATTAAAATAATTTGTTCAAAATTTGAAGAATCTAGTTCTATTAGTTTCCCAGTTAAACGAAATTTTGTATTTAATTCATATGGGAGGTACCAAGTAACCCATTGGAAGTCCGCCCGTTATATTCTAAATGTTCAGGTGAATGTCAAAGTTCTTCAAGTAAAATTTAATGATTCTAGCTCTAATTGTTTCTCAGATATACGAATTTTTCTATTTTATTCATATGGGGGCTCCAAGCCCCCCAGATGAAAGTCCGCTCTTTTTTCCTTAAAAATGTTCAGATGAATATTAAAGTTCTTCGTGCAAAATTTTAAGAATTTAGTTCTATTAGTTTCCCAGATAAACGAATTTTTGTTTTTAATTAATATGGGAGGTGCCGCTCCCCTCATGGGTAGTCCGCCAATTTTTTACCCAAATTTGGGTTTAAACCACAGTCACTACGTGGATCCCGAAAGAACCTCAACCAACTGACCAGCAAGGAAAAGTCCTGCGGGCAACTTGCCACCCGTAGTGTCATGTCAAATTATTCCAAGGAAAGGCCGAGAATACATTTGATCATCACCAGTTTATAGTCCCGGCAGACTAGAGGTATTAGTAGCACCTCGTTTCCCCGGGATATTGCAATAACACCAAGGTAGAGATTTCACCAAGTTAACATGCCCCCGAGGGGACTAGAATAGACAATCGACAAAACCCGCAAGATGGAATAGAATTCATACGGAGACCATGGGATGAATAGTACTGAGTTAATATGTCTTACTACGATCGCGACTGGTCCGTAGTCGGGTTGTATGTATGGCCCATTTGCAGAAAGGGACAATGTTGCTAGATGGATTTAAACTTCCTATTTCCTATGGACTTTTTAGATTTAGTTAGATAAGTTGGGTATTTGATATCGGAAGAATGAACTTATGATAATTATTGATAATGTATTTTTAGCTGGCAAGCTTTAACATTATAACAGCCCATCGGGGCTCTTCTGGTTTTACCCTGTTTTGATGAACCCCAATTTAAAGCTGAATTTAGGATGAGTATAATAAGACCTCACAACTACAGAAGCTTTTTCAATACTAAATTGTTAAGAACGGTAAAGTTAGAGTGAGTCCACTTCCCAAAATCACTTGATTTTAGCTCCCATATAAACTCATGAATTAAACGCGATAAAATTCTACACGAATATGTTTTGTATTTATACAAATCATTCTGCGACACTTTTTCCGAATCGGTCCATTATTGAAAATTCGGCATGCCGATTATAGACTCTAACTGGTTTTTATTTGTATTTATCTGTTTTTGGTTAATTTTTCAGTTATATCCCTTTTATAAATTTGAACAACAATTTGTTATTAATAACATGCACTCGGTACTTGATATTGATGCTAAATCGGTTAGTGAACCTTTGAGATCAATTCTAAATTAAATCGCATCACTTATGAGAAAGGAGCTGCAGTCTTGCGCATGTTTAGCAATGCAATGGGCAAAAATAATCTCAATATGGCCATGAGAGATTATCTTAAAGATACCAATGTCAAAATAAGTTTGTCAAAGCCTAAAAAGATCTCTGGACTTTGGTCTAAATTTAAACAAGGCCAAACGTATTTTCAAGGTTATAATTGTCTTAAAGGTATAAAATTTTAAAAACTGGTAAAGGAAAATAAAACATGTATTCAAATCGGAACTTAGACCTGTCCATTTAAGACTAAAATATTAATTTTTATTAAATTTTATTTATTAAACTTCCAGAAATACTTTTTGAAACTTATCCGACTCAGATTTCCTTTTCTCTCAATCTCTTCCCAGTCAACAATGCAAAAAATTTGCTCCTTATATATCTAAACTGCTAGATATTGCTTATCGAAATTTGGGTTTTGAGAAATCAAATATTTCTATTTTGGATATCTATAATCGACAACAAGTCGTACAATGGTTTAGTAAATATCATTTTAGTGATTGCAACAGACCGTAACCAAAATCTCATTTATCAACAAGTACCAAACCTATTACCGATTTTTAAGAAACTTTATATGTATATTGAATATAGAATCTATATATATTTAATATAGAATAGATTTCGCTACAGCTCCATTATTTTCAGTTGGGTTCAAAAAATATCGGTATTTTTAGAAAGTTAAACACTTTACCACTTTGGCACTATAATTTTTCAATTTATTATATTTTTTTTGTTGCCGTAAACCGCTCTAACAATAATCCATATACCTTTAAGTTTTGAACTTTATTACAATTATAATATTCTAACACATTTGAACAATCACTTATAAAAACATATACCTACTTAGTTAAACTATATTATTCCGAAGTAATGTGTAACATTTTGCAGCACAGTATGTCCTTCTTATAACTAAAATACTTGTACATGAATGTAATGCCATTTTCTTGTACATAATTAGAGAAACTAAGAAGAAGTGAGAACTAAGCAATGATGGTGATTGAAATAGGCACAGTGATTTTAAAGGATTTCAGATAAATTGAGGGAAAAATATCCGACATGATTATTGGGAATTTTCAAGTTAAACTCATTTTGTCCTTCCTTTTGTAATTTGTACAATATAATTTTTCAACCCTATAAAGTATAGATGTATATTCCGAGTCCGTAATATATTGTAAGTTTGTTGAGATCAATTATCTAAAGACACCTGAAATGTTCGGAATCTGAATCTTCAGTAATTGTATCAGTCATGCTTTCGAGAAGTTGTTTATTAAAAATCGCTAACAATCGGTTCATAATTAACGGAGATATGAGCAATTTCTTCAGAAACTATAATCAGCTGTTTCAACAAATTTTGACTCAAGTCTTTTCTTTCGTCCAGGGAATGAAAATTTATTAGAATCGGTTCAAAATTTTATACATGTAGCTCCCATACAAATTAACATACTTATGGTAAATTGATTTATTATAATTAACTCCTTCTAGATTACCTGTATTAATATGTACAAAATTTTACACATACAAATCAAATATCAGTAGAAATCATATGACCAACTAAAACTTTGGAGTTGAAGCAGCGTGTGCTACAGGGATTTGAACGCGCAATAAAGCAAATCTGTCGATAATGCCAAAGCCTCTTCATTTCCCCATGACCGACCATGAGTGGTGAAAAGCCACATTCTGCACGAGGTCTCTGCATAATAAGCATAAAATGGCGGATCTAGAGTGGACGCTCGATAAAAACCCGTAATTCTCGGTTGTCATCCATACCGTGACCATGAGATGGATGGCACTACGTCAGTGTGTCTTATAACGGTGGCCTCCGGACCATGATACTGTCCAGTTGTATTGGTTGCCCATCTATAGTAAGGGGCTCTGCTATAAGATGTTAATTACCCTTCCCCATTAATAAATTCATATTCTATGGAAAATTTGAACATCATTAAACCAAACAAAACTCCAGAAGGGGTCCCTATGGACCTAAAAACCATCAAGCATGACTCCACGGAATCAGCTGCTCCGATGGACATAGACGAAGACTCGGCGTCAGTGAATTTATGTCTCAACTCTGCCGAAGACAATGTCCAAACAGACGAAGAATATGCATTACTGGCGTCTGCGCCTAACACGCAACCATCAACGCCCTTAAGGCTTTACTTTCATATGAAATCAGGTCGGGTGTCGTACTTGACTGTTTGACATCTCTAAATGAACTGGGTAAACATAATAAACTCACACTAAAGTTGGGTACCTGGTCATGAAGGACATTCTGGCAATGAAATAGCAGACTGTCTGGCAAACAGGGGCGCATGGCGACCATTTATTGGACCAGAACCATTCTTTGGTATCCCCAAAGGATACATTAGGGAAAAATGCGATTCGTATGCTGAATCTGAATTTCTACGCCACTGGGAGTCAATATCAGGGCTCAGGCAGGCAAAAATGCTAACAAAAATAAATCCCAAAAGTTACTATCACTCAATAAGAGACTTTATACCGGCGGACACTGAGGACTTAGATACCACCATCACATTCTTGGTAACAATGTGACGAGACTATGTAGATTCTATTAAATTCATGATGAAACCTCAGAACATGTACTTTGCGACTGTCAGCCATTATGGCGTCTCAGAGTGAATATTCTAGGAGGCGCTTTTCTTTCGCCTAATGAAATATTCAATCTCTCACCGTCTAGAACATTAAAATTCATACGTGAACTAAATCTCCAATGATGAACCAAAAGGGCTGCACAAAAGATATTAACTTGGGTCGTAGTGTTTGGTGCCCCCTTAATCAATCAATCAAAACCTGGGTCGCTCCATAATTGACCACAGCTACCACTTAAATTCCATTCCAATAATTAAACTTAACTAATTCATTAACAAATGATCATATCGGAACAAAATATAACATTAATCTGTTATGTACATGCGCAAATTATTTAGCGACATTTTTTTCCGGATCGGCAAATAATTGGCCCTAGAATCCATATAAAGTCCACTTTTGACAATCACTTAATTGTAAATAACTCATGAATTAATAATGATATCGCTACAAATTATTACTACTGTGGTTTGTATATTTTATTGGTTATAGCTCCCATATAAAGCCTTATTCTGAAAATCACTTAATCGTAAATAACATATTAATTCAGAATGATATCGGGATACAATTCTACACGAATATGTTTTATATATATCCAAATCATTCTCTAGCCCCCACTACCTCAATGTCTGGTTATATATAAGATAAAATATAACCTAAGTTATGTTTTTTGTTCAAGAAATTAGATTTATCAAATAAGTTCTTTATTTTTTAACGATATTAAGAGCGATTTTAGACTATATAGCTTTTCGATATAGTCTTGACTAAAGTCTAAATTATATTCCTCACTAAAGCATTAAAAACAATTTTGACTATCAAAACCACTGTGCAGTCACATCAAAAACTTGTAATATGCTTAAAATCACAAAACTCTTGAACACAAGCACTAATAAGGGTGATAATTTTTTATTAATCCAAAAAAACATGATGTCCATTAGTTCTAAGTTTGTTTGGGTTGTTTGTTTCCTTCGTCTACCGTGTAGAGTGAGCGTAGGGATGTGTGTGTGCGAGTGTCCTTTTTAGTCCCTAAACACTTTTAGGATATAAAAGGCTTAAAATGGTCAATGAAGTTTCTTTATTCGTCTCAGATTGTTAGCTGGAAAAGTCAAGTTGTGGTGTGTGTGAGAATTTAAAAAAAAAATACAAACAAAAAACATTGTTATTTAGTTTGAGGACTAAATAAAAATAGAAAATAAAAAACCGGACCAGCAGAAGTAAAACAACATGTTAACAGCTTTTGGTTTAGATGCTTTTGGAAGATTTTTTATTTGTTTCTGCTGCTCCTTGTTTGTGCTCATCCTACAAAATCATGTTATAAAAGTCTCGGGAGACAATGCTGTAGTGACAACAGATAATGGTAATTAGTTTGGAAAACATTTTTATGATTGGTTTTAATTAAAAAAAAAATGGGGTCAATGGTCATTTTTTTCAAGATATTTCCCATATTGGTGATGATTGTCAAGTAACGCCTGTTATACATGTTTTACAATATCCGGGTTGTGTACCCAAACCTATACCCTCTTTTGCTTGTGTAGGACGTTGTGCTAGTTATATACAGGTGAGTTTTTATTATTTAATAACAAACTATATTAGCACAAAATTTTAAACTTTATTCCTTAGGTATCCGGCAGTAAAATTTGGCAAATGGAACGTTCTTGCATGTGTTGTCAGGAATCTGGTGAACGTGAAGCTGCTGTTTCTTTATTCTGTCCCAAGGCCAAACATGGTGAACGTAAATTTAAAAAGGTCTTAACAAAGGCTCCCTTAGAGTGCATGTGCCGTCCCTGCACCTCTATTGAAGAGTCGGGTATTGTACCACAGGAAATTGCTGGCTATTCTGATGAGGGTCCCTTAAATAATCATTTCCGTCGCATTGCTTTGCAGTGAACATTTTATAACTGATGACACTTTTCGTTCTCCTAAAAAATGCCTTAATTAAAACTATTGTTTGTGGATGAGTCTAGATATTTTATTTTTTGAATTATAGAGAAATAAACAACTGTAGAATAATAATAAAATATATTTCATTTACCCATGGAAATTTATCTCAAAGGAATTTTTTTTTTTAAATTTTTGATAAAATTTTTAGAGGTTGTCACGGATTTTTGCTCATATCTCAGTTATTTATGAACCGATTTTGCTGTTTTTTAATGTTTGACAGAATTGTTGAAGATTTGGATCTTGAAGATATCTGGAGTCTTCAGAAAATTTATTTCAACAAACATACAGACAGACAGACGGACATAGCTTTATCGACTCCGCTATCTATAAGGACTCGGAATATATACTTATTAAGGTCGGAAAATTTTAATTATAGAAATTACAAACGGAATGACAATCTTATATATACCCTTCTCACAAATGTGTAGGGTACAACAATTATACCGTAGAAATTACAAACGGTATAACAAACTTACAATATAATAACCCCTCTAGCGAAAATGAAGATATAAAAAGTATAAAAATCGCTTAAGACAAATAATAAAAATGCAAGCGATTTCTATACAAATGGCTAGAGTTATCTATAATTTCATATTTTTTTAGAATTCCATATTGCAATACATTTAAAAAATATAATTTTAGTTTTGAATAAGGAAGGAAATTAATTTCATTACCATAAAGTAACTTTGTTATCATTGGTAAAGCAGAGCAATCACTATATTATCAACATAACTTATTTGTTGGTAATAGTGTGCCTAAAAAATAACGGTAAAAGTGTTTGTTTACCTTAAACGCTTATTCCCTTATTCAAAAACAACATTTTTATTTTATAAAAGGTTTATAAAACAAAATTTCCATACAAAATATAATTTATAAACCGTTTGTTTGTGAGTAAGGGGGTTAAACTAAAAAGAAAAAGAAGTACGAAAAGCCATTTTACAAAATGTACAATGAGAGCTTACCTATTTTGGATTCAATAAGTAGTTTTCCATATGTAATAGTGCTGCCATCTATGTTTTAAATAAATAAAATGTAGAAAAATTTAACAACCCTGTTTCGAGTGTGTTCAGTGAAACTCCCCTATAAGAACAGTGACAGTCATTTGACCGGTCAATTGACTGTCACTACTGAGAATATACCCATCATTGCGTAGAACAAAGCTCCCATCACTTTCTTAAGGGCAATATGTAAAAAGTGATGGAAACATTTGTGTACATGTGATGTTGCATCACCCTCGCACTTATGAATTCTATCGACTTTAAAACATATATTTGAGCTGCTCACTCTTTTGTTGTTTACTAATCATGGATGATATAAATATTAGTCATGATTGACTAATCATGCTTGATGGATATATCCATCACAGTTAACAAATAAAAAAATGATACATTAATCGGTCATTGTTGACTAATCACACTTGATGAATATATCCGTCAAATCTGACGGCTATACCAATTTATAATAAAACACAATTTATTGATATTTTAATATATATATATTGTTAATTTTATTAATATAGTAATCATATACATAAATTACCAGTCTTTTCACCATTTTACATATCTCGCAGAATCTTAAGTCCTCTGATGCTCCTATTAATTTGTGGAAATAAGTTGTCTGTAAAGAAATGCATAAGTATTCATAAATATCGAAATATAAAAATCATAAGTACATATTTATGTTACCATTGATTGATTAAACTCCGAATTGTTTATCTTCTGATCCACTTCCTGAACTTTTTTAAAATTTAGTTTATAATAATTCTCTTTATTTTTAATAATTTAAAGACTTTGTAATTTTTTTATTTTTTCGCTTCTTGATCTTTGGCTTTCGCAGAAACAATTAATTTGTAACGACGAAAAATACAACTCTGTAACACAGTGACAGTCATTTGAGCGGTCATTTGGCTGTCATTGTTGATCAAAATATAAATTTTAATACATTTTAATCAAAATGTAGTTGTTTCATTCTTTCATATGTAAATTCAACCCTATACCACACATTGGGTCCAGTAACGGTCATTTTACCGGTCATTTGACTGTCATTGTTGATGGAATCATCCATTAAATTTTTTTTTCGACAATTCTATAAAAAAAATGTTGCGTGTGTGTTAGTAAAATCATTTTGTATGTGTTAGTTTCGGTCATTCATTTCTTATAGGGTCTCTTCATATGTTTTCTACAAGTGTTGCCACTACACTAAAAGTATTTTTTTGATTTGCCGTTTTGAAAAAGTCACAAAACTGACATTAAAACAAATGCTTTTTGTGGTAAAAGAACTATTTAAACCATATTTTTGCTACTAAGAATTGTATATAAATAATTTACAGTAATAATGCTAAAGTTATTAAAACATAAATTAGGAATCGATATACATTATACAAACAATGGCAACACTGTTGTTAAACAACCGTGTGTTTGTTTGTATTTATTTTTCGCAAACAAATAAAAAAAATTTGTTGTTTTTTCATCATTTGTTTATCAATCGTGAATGAAAACGGACGTGTTCGAATAAAACAACAATAAAATCGAAACAGTTTCGTTTAATCATAAAGAAAAAAGTGCAAGAAGCATAATAAGAAAAAATATAAACAAATCCAGCGGCTTTTTATTTAAAGTAAATATTTTTAGCAGCAGTGTTTGTAAGCGCTGCTGCAAGCGGGTGTTTTTTTTCGTCGTGCAGTCAATCCCAGTCGTAGTCGTCGCTGTTTTTATGTCTTGTGCATAGTTTTTTTTTCTTCTCTGCTGTTGTTGTTTTAGCCGGAGTTCATGTGAATGTGACATTTACTATAAAATAAATCAAGAAATTACAAAAACAAGCAAAAAAATTAAAATAAAACCAAAAAAAAGAATTCAGTTTAATGTATATTTGTTAGTGTAATTACATATTCTTTTGAGCATTATTATTGTTGTTGTTATTATTCCAATTTCATTGAATGAATTATTAAAGAAAAAAGGTGGTGGTGTGTGAAAAAACTTTTTGTTTCTTATCATCTGAGGGGCTGGAAAATATTACAGCTGTCGTAAATAGAGCAATAACTATTGTTAGTTCCATGCAGTCGCTGCACTGAAAGTAAAGACAGTAAAGTTGTTGTTGGCTTAAACGCATGTTTAGTAAAAATTTTGAAAAAATATTAGAAAAATATTAAATATAAACAAGTTTATTCCCTAAAGCACAAAATAATGATAATAACAAATAAATCTCACAAAAATCTCCTCGGTATATTCCGGTAATTGTATTGTTTCTATAAATAAATATTCTAAAAAGCTTTTAAAAATCTCGAAAAAAATAAAACAAAAGAAAAGAACCAGAAAATGTGCCAACAACTTTACCTGCCTCATCAAATACAACAACAGCAAGTAACAGAGAACTCGACACCACCACCACCTAACGCTACTCTAGGCCAGATAAAACAGGTTCTACTTTGCCGCAGTAATCAAGACCAGCATTACTACAGTAATCGTTCTCGTCATCAGCAGCGTCATCATGTACAAATGTTACACAAATCTCGAGAGTTAATATCATCAAATGACCAACAACATTATCATCGCAACCACCTCCTCCTACGCATATTTTCATTGAGGAATAACCGTAACATGATAGTACCTTTTCGTCAAACGTATCATTTGTCATTTATGTTGTTGTCCACCAGTGTTTTGCTACTGCTGTTGAATTCAGTTCATGTTGTCCAGTCACACAACTGTCAACATCTTCATCCCAAGGCTCATGAGGTATGTGTTTGTTAAATATCTACAGTGTCTCTCATAAGTATTCGAATTTAGGTAAACTATGAAAAGAAACCAAATTTAATAATATATTTTGTGTGGAAAATAAATAAATTAATTTGTTATATTGTCTAGATAGTCCTTATGTTTGATATCACGCTTTTTAAAACTTGAAAAATTTGCCTTGACTTAAATTAATTGTGCTTTTTTAAAAAAAGTCCATGAAATTGCCTCACAAAAGTATGCGAATTTTTCCTGTATTTCATATTTGATCATATTATACGATACACAAATTTTAGAATCGCATGGTTTTATGCTTAATATTGTTTTAAGGGGTTACTATCAACCGCATGGATATATTTTTGACCCATTTGGTCCACAATTTTGAGGGATTTGTACCCTCTTTTCATGTAATATCATTAAAATGGCGATTTTTGGCTATATTTGTAATGTTTTCACCCTTTTTCCAGAGATAAAACCAAAATTTAATATTGGAATGTAATAGAACCCATAGGATATCTAAAAATAATATTTTTTGTTAAAGGGTCCATACTTAATCGTTCCAAGATGTATTTTTGGTATCGTTTTTCAGTTTCTAATTGAATTATCTGGATCATAAGTCCCTTTTCGTACCTCTAGGGACCATATTTTCCGACAAAGTTGTCTAGTGTATATTCATGTACATATTGGCACTAATGTATTTTAAATTTTCAATATATTATAGCGGTATACAACCCCAAATCATGCCTTAACAAAACGTCATCCTATATAGTAGATTTCAGTTTTTACTACTCGTAACTTTCACGCTTATGTTGCCCGTTACAATAACACTGTAAGTTCTAAATTTTGGTTTTAATTTGATCATAGTAAATAATATTTAAACACATATCAACATTTTTGATGTGATCATAATGATATCGTGCCATGCAGCATGGAGGCCATTGGTATATAAAAATAATGATTTTACTATTTTGAATGGTGCTTCTTCGAGGCATGTTTTGGAGTTGTACACTTCCACAACACATTGAAAACTTAAAATGTATAAAAGCTGATATCTAAAAGAATATATACCAGAAAACTTTCCCCGAAAATAGTTGATCCTAGTATTATAAAAATGGACTTAAGTTCCAATATATTGAATTAGCGACAGAAGAATGATCCGAATAATTTATCTTGGAACGTTTAAATACAGATTCTTGTAACAAAAATATTATTTTTAGATACCCCAAGGGGTCTTTTAAGTCCCAATATCAAATTTTTGTTTTATCTCTGGAAAAAA